ACCACCACCACCACCCCTGCTCCAACTTTCAACTTTCATGGTCTTTTGTTTTCTGGAGGCTGCCTACTAAAATCCATTTATGGCTGGAAAGTGTACTTAGTTTCCTAATGACTATACTTGTGTTTACTATGTTAGGGCTCTGAAAGAATTATGGAAGATGTATTTTTTTTAAAGGGGGATATATCAGTCAGGATTTTACTAGAGAAATAGATATAACACAAGATAAACAAATGTATAAGAAATTACTAGATTGGCTTATGACGGTCAACCAAAGAGTTGGATGAGGAAGTGTGCAGAGGGTGTCTGCACAGTGGAGTCCGAACGATCCAGTCCAGGGTCTGGAGTTCACTGCAGTGTCCCATAAAAGTCCGTATCAGGAGGCCGATGCGTCTGCAATGGAAGGTTGATGAGTGTATACCAGAAGGCTGAGGATCCAAGGCGGAAGTCCAGGAGTCTGCACTAGAAGCCAGGAGGTGATGTCCAAGCTGAAAGTTGAAGACTGGAGCTCCTCTGAAGAATGGAAGACCCTCTGTCCTTCTTAATTTCCCTTTTATATTATGTAGGTGATGATCCACTCTCGGATGACTTCTCTACACCCTAGGGTGTAGAATTGCTGAGCCAATTGCTGAGCCAAATTTAGTTAAGCTTCTAAACTTCTCAGATTAACATACAATCAATCAACCACTACAGGGGAAAAGTTTATTTAGCTCACGGTTTGTAGAGGTTCCAGTCCATGATTGGCTAGCTCCAAAGCAGGGTGGTACATAACAGAGGGACAACAGTTCATGGTGCCAGAAAATGGCAAAAGCAAGCAAGGAGAGAGAGCAAACCTCTTTCCATCCTTTATATTTTATGCAGGCTACCCACTCTAGGGTGAATATAGAACTCACACCCTTAATCCCAGCGTTGGACCATGAGTGAATCACAAACTCTAGATTTAGCTGCCTCTGAAAAGCCCACCCCCTATGACTACATGAGGCTTTGGGAGGACATACAGACACAAGGCATAACATTCTTCCCCTGGCCCCTCAAGGATTCATGCAATTCCTTTATGAAAAAGGCATTTAGTCCATCTCTCACAGTTGCCAAAGTCCTAACATTGCTGAAAAGTCCCAATTCTCCTCTGAGAAGTAAGGCAAACTCTTTGTTGTGAGCCTTTGTACAAATGAAAACAAAGTTAAACACTTCCAACATTCAGTGGTACAAGATAAACATTTCTGGGGCTGGGGATTTAGCTCAGT